TGCATTTATCAGCTAAAATTGCTCAAACATAATTCAACTATCAGGCTAAAATTAACACACAGGAAGGTTGTTGGCTGCCAACATAAAATCTTTATTTAGTCCCTAGAGATGTCTTCTGATGTTTTATTTTATTTGTAAGCACCATTTTACCTTAAGCACATAGCATGACAAACTTAGATGACCACACCAATAAATTATAAATAGCAATGATATATATATATATCACCAGGAAAGCCCTGGGCAATAGTTTAATTCTTTGATATGTAACTTAAAATGTTCAGGGAATGATGTTTCTTCCTAAAGGAGTTTCCAAAACAGAATTTCATCTGATGACAAAAAACATACAACTATGAGGAAACACTGTTAAATCATTCTAGAATTTTTTTTTTTTTTTTTTAAAGAAAACAGGACCAGGGCTTCCCTGGCGGTGCAGTGGTTGAGAGTCCGCCTGCCGATGCAGGGGACACGGGTTCGTGCCCCGGTCCGGGAAGATCCCACATGCCGCGGAGCGGCTAGGCCCGTGAGCCATGGCCGCTGAGCCTGCGCGTCCGGAGCCTGTGGTCCGCAACGGGAGAGGCCACAGCAGTGAGAGGCCTGCGTACCGCAAAAAACAAAAAGAAAAAAAGCAGGACCAGAGGTCTTGGAAGTGGGGAAAAAGTAATACTTAGAAAAAACAGGGGCCAGGGAAGGTAGAGTCCAGACACTATATTTTGATGAAATATTGTTTCCCAGGAAGATTATAAAATGAATTATTAAATAAATGGCTTATGAACCACTGGCAAGTAATGCAGTGATCTATAAACACTAGCATAAGAAAGCTAAATAGTAACTCATGTCTAACTTCACTTTCTTCATATGAAATATAGGTTAGGTAATAAAACAGTAGGTGGATTCATAACTGAATTTTACCCAAAAGGTTCATTAATGGATTAATATCAACTTAGTGATAGTGTTCTGATATTACATAGCATTGTTCCACTCTTATATATTTTTACCAGTGACCTAAAACAAAAACACAGGTGTCACGTTTATCAAATTTAACTATCAACAACAGAAAGATATGAGGAATGGTTAAGAGGCTAAAAATAACAAGCAGATGTAAACTGGTATATAGAGAATGGATAAACAACAAGGTCCTACTGTATAGCACAGGGAAATATATTCAATATCCTGTGATAAGGGACTTCCCTGGTGGTCCAGTGGTTAAGACTCCATGCTCCCAAAGCAGGGGGACTGGGTTCGATCCCTGGTCAGGGAACTAGATCCTACATGCCGCAACTAAAGATCCTGCATGCCGCAATGAAGATCCCGCATGCCACAACTAAGACCCAGTGCAGCCAAGTAAATAAATATATTTTTTAAAGTCCTGTGATAAACCATAATGGAAAAGGATATGAAAAAGAATGTACATATATGTATAACTGAGTTACTTTGCTGTACAGCAGTAATTAACACATTGTAATTCAACTATACTTCAATAAAAAATAAATTTAAAATAAAAGGCTAAATAACATTATCAAGCTTAAACAATAAACCAAAACTAACAAGATGACAATTACAGGGATAAACACAAATTCCTCAATTAAAATTTAAAAATTAATTATATAAATTAATGTGATCTTAGGCTTTAAGAACAGAGGTATTGAGTGCAGTGATAAGAGGCCCTACTCTCCCCTGTACTTTGTATTGATCAGATTATATCTGAAATGTTATATTCAGATCTAGATAAGAAACCCTAAAAACTCAGGCAACTAAGTTGATAAGGAGACTGAACTTTATTAAAAATGTCACTTAAAGAATGGTTGAAAGAACGTGGGGTATTTACCCCAGTAAGAGAAGCCTTAACAGAACATAACTGTCATCAAATATTTGAAGGGTTACCATGCTGACAAGAATTAGCTTTATTTATTGTAGCTTCAGATGGCAGGAGTAAAGAGTTTCACAATGTAAAGAATGTTCTAAAAAGCAGAGCTCCTATAACGGAACAGGGTATCTATGAAGTAGGGACCTCTTCCTTACAGCATTCAGAAGTTAAAAGACCACCCACCAGACATTCCAAAATGATGCATTTTCACACTTCATGAATATATCAATACTTGATCCTAAAATAAGCCTATTAGGGGAAGGCAATATTCAAAATAAGAAGCTTAAAAATTGTTTTATTTGACATGTTTCTAGAGACGGAAGACTTTTTTCATGAACTCTAAAAGAGAAATAATGCTTTTTCTTTTTAACTGAATGCTGCGTTTGTTTTTCTCAGAGAAACAACATATGCACCTTAACTTTAGTACCTTTATCAAGGGATAAGAAGCAACTGTATGCCAGCCTGCCAACTAGTTTCAAGAAGAGAGCTGTTTTTATTAGACATTCACATGGCAATGCTATTTGCTCCACCTAAAACTTCCTTCCAAAAAGGCTCCTCCTCATCAGACGTGGAGAGGAGGCTGCTGTAACACTGACTCCTTCCTACTGCAGCCTAGAAAAACTCACTCTTGACATGTACAAAACAATAACTTGTGAGAACTTCAGAGCAGCTGTGTTCAGGCAGAGCCAGGGACTTAAAGCAGCAGCTTGAGAGTAGGATGAAAAAACAAATTTCATTTTGGGTTGGAAGCAGAGAGGAAAGATAAAGGAGATATACAATAACGGTCTCTATTAACATTTAAAAGCCATGGTAAATAAAAATGCTTAAAAGTTACAACACTGAAACTATCACAGGATGTAACCTTTGATCCACAAGTTTAAAATGAGCAGTGTTCATCATTCTCTAGCTTTCTGCTAGGTGTTAACACTGAGATAGTGCCCAAGTCAAAGCCATCACAAATTCTAGGATGGAAGAATAAAACAAGGAACTTTGCTCTCTCATTGGATATTTTTTTGTGCTGCTGCCAGGCAAACTGTGAAAATGTCTGAATATCCAATAACAATGCTCTCAATGTGAAATACTGGAACCCAATTAAGTAATTAATGCTAAAAGGTCAGTAATTAATTGGTCTCAATGTGCTGCAGGGGTAACCTCCTGGCTAGGAGGACAAATGGCTGCTGAATACCAAAGGTTAATACAAAGTAACATACTCTGGTTTCTCCTCATGTAACACCTTTCCCGGTATATTTCAGATGTTATTTTGCTTCCAAAAGTAAGAGGAGAAGAAAAGGAATGTAAAAGACAAATCTATGCAATAGCAAAGAAGTCATTAATTAATTGGCTGTATTAGCTCATTATTAAATAATACAGAACTATCAAACAAAGGGCAAAGACTTGTCCCTTTTTTGTACAGAATTAGGAACTGGTAAGACTACTTAGTATAGCTGCCAAACTTTTCTTTAGCTTCCTTTCTCACAGACGTGTTACATTTCGCAATAGTCTCCACTTACCTTAAAGTATCCTCCATGTTTAAGTACAAATTGTGTTTGATTTCCCCAACCCTTGCCCCCAAGATATCAATATTATGACTTATCTTTAGCTTCTGAATTGGAACACAAAGGAAGAAACTGAAAATTTTTCACTTTCCTGAAATACGTGCCCATTTTATTTACACCATTTAAAAAAACATAAGCTAACTAAAACTAACTGCAACCATTCATTTAGCAACTCTTCAAAAATACGAGTGGGTAAGAAACACATTTAACAAAACAAACCAGTTTAGTACATTTTTCTGTGCTTAGAATACCTATAAAGACCTATGTCTCTGCAAGAATTATTTATACTACTGAAAAGTTTTTAAAAGTAGGAATCAAGTGAGCTTGTGGAGAAAACTCTGCACACCCCTACAAACCTACACTTACTATGACACAACCTCAAAGATACTAAAACACCCTCTGATAAGTAGAAAACAAACTTTTAAAGTTAGGAAACCAGCAACGCGGGAATATGGGGAGGAGGTGCCCTGGGTAGTAAACACCCCAGTCACAGAACATAACAAGCAATTCAGAGTAACGTATAACTCCCGATGGAGCTCCAACTTGGCCGCTTAAGTCCCAAGCCCCCATCCCTGAGTTGAGGAAGAGATGAAGTGCAGAACAGGAAGAGAGGGAGAAAGGAAATCTGAGCAGAAGTGATGAAAGTGTTTTATTTTTCTCCTTCTCTACCCCATCCCAACTTTCTTGCAGGCTGGTCACCAGACTGGGTGCCATATCCACCAAAAGCCCTAAATCCATTTCCCAGGCTTCTTCTGACACCTAGGCTAAACACCTGTACATATGAGCCGTCTCCTAACCAAACACCTCCCCTTACCCTTCTGGATTCCCCCATACCCTTCCCAAAGGGATACCTCTTGGCCACTAGCCCACCTCTATGAAGTCTTCCTAAACTCGGTCACTTAATTTTCTCCATATCCATACTTTCTCTCTGATATCATGTCCCTGGTCCTCTTTTTTATAATTCAATCGAAATGCCATGCTCTCACTTCCACTTACTCCTCCCTATCTTCCCAGCAAAACCAAATACCATGTTTTCACCTACTCATCCCCACCTCCTGCCTATTACCCCTGACTCTTCCAATGCCAAGTCTCTAACCCCACTCTTTGAAGAAGCTCTGGGTCTTCAACCAGTTTAGTACCCCTACCCTTTCTCCATTCCACCCCATTACAGGATCCACTAGACTTTCATTCCCTCAGGATTCAACTCCCCTCTCCTTGCCACGCCCTGTGCCCCCCGGGGCTACTTACCCCCAAGTTCTCCCCACACTTCAGGCCTCTGGCCCCGCCTTCCCCCCAAAGGAAGGAGGCGGGAGGAAGGAGAGAAGAGGGGCGGCACTCCGCAAGGTAAAGATGACCTCCCATTAGTGCTCTTCGCCGCCAATCGTAACTTCCTTCTCTCTTATTGGTCGGCGTTGGTCCATGCCCCACCCTCTTCCTCAGACAGGGCCCAGCCACCGCCTCAGCGCCCCCGTCCAACACACACTGGGAGGGGAGACCCCGGCCTGGGACACTGGGACTGGCCAGAGTTGATGGGGAGACTCCCGTCAGATCATGGACTAGTTAATATTATCTGGACTCACCCGCTGGTAGCTCCGTCGCCTCCCGCCCGCCCGCGCTCGGTCCCACAATCTGTCTCCAGCTCCTTCTTTCCCCCCTAAGCGGAGCAGATACTTTTCTCTCGTCCGGCCAGGCGCGCTCACTTCTCGCGAGATATGGAGAGGAGTTGGAGGAAGGGCGAGATCCGCAGGGCCTGAGTCGGAAAGGGGCCGAGGGGCGGGGCTCCGGAAAAAGAAGGGGCTGGACTTTCGGTGGGCAGGGCTAAGGAGGGAGGCTGTAAGAGTTCCTAATCGCTGGTCGCACGTGTTCGGCTGCGGAGTTTAAGGGGAAAAAAAAAAAGAAATAGGAGGAAAGGGACTCCTTACAGGTGCCTGTAGTAATGGAGATCCAAACGGTTCTCATACTAGAGAATTAGATTATCCCAAAGTAGCGCACTTTAAAAACGAGACAAGGTTGTACCTCAGTAAAACTTTTTTTAAAAAGAGCGGGGTGGGGGGCTTCCCTGGTGGCGCAGTGGTTGAGAGTCCGCCTGCCGATGCAGGGGACACGGCTTCATGCCCCGGTCCGGGAAGATCCCACATGCCGCGGAGCGGCTGGGCCCGTGAGCCATGGCCGCTGAGCCTGCGCCTCCGGAGCCTGTGCTCTGTGACGGGAGAGGCCACAACAGTGAGAGGCCCGCGTACCGCAAAAAAAAAAAAAAAAAAAGAGCGGGGGAATTCCAGTGGTTAGGACTCCGCGCTTCTGCTGCAGGGGGCACGGGTTGGATCCCTGGTCCCAGAACTAAGATCCCATAAGACGAGCGGCTCCGCCAAAAAACTTTTTTTTTAATTAAAAAAGGGGGGGGGGGGGAACCGAGACAGCTACATAAGATGATTCAGTGTTCCAAACAGTCGAATAGTTGCATTTTCTTCTTTGCTCTTACAGTAGCATCACTGGCCGTAATCTCTGCTGTGTGTCTGTATATGGGGATGGGGTGTGGTAAAAGTTCAACCGCAGGAACTGGCGACTTTTTAAAAAACGTGTAGGTTGTTTCTATTGTCCTCCAGAGTTATCACTTCCTTAATGGCAAAGTAGTTTGAAATACCCTTAGCCCTAGAACTGAAGTGCATGTATTGGGAAAAGCGAGCTCCCAACTCTATCATTTTCTTTGAGTATCTTTACAGTGAGGCCAGCAATCCCATTTACTCAGAGTTGTAATGATCAAATGAAATAATATGTGTGAAACTTCTTTGGAATTAAAAGGCACTATATTTATTACTCAGTAAGTATTTTAACAAATACTTTGGACATACTACATGCAAAGAACTGTTCTAGGCATGGGGAGAAGAGTAGACAGACCAGGTCCCTGCTCTGGTAGAATTTATGTTTTAGTGGGAAGGGGGAGACAGTTAATAAACACAAATATTATATATTTCAGTTAGTGAAGAGTGCTGCAGGGTAATGAGACGGAAAGTGACCAAGAGTAGGAAAGCAACTTTACTCCTGGTGTTGAGAGGCCCCTTTGAAGGAGTAACGTTTGAACTGTGAGAAGGAGACAGCCTTGGGAAGATTTTCGGTGAAACATCAAATGCAAAGACTGTATTTAAAATTTTCTCATATGGTTACGAAGGTGGTAAATTTTATGTTATGTGTTTTCTTTGTTTGTTTGTTTTTTCTTGCGGTACGCGGGCCTCTCACTGTTGTGGCCTCTCCCGTTGCGGAGCACAGGCTCCAGACACGCAGGCTCAGCGGCCATGGCTCACGGGCCTAGCCGCTCTGCGGCATGCGGGATCCTCCCGGACCGGGGCACGAACCCGTGTCCCCTGCATCGGCAGGCGGACTCTCAACCACTGTGCCACCAGGGAAGCCTTGTTATGTGGTTTTTTTATCACAACTAAAAAAAAACTTCTAAAATGTTACTGTAAGTATAAGGACAGTTGACTTAAAATATTACCCATGGAATCGCTTTTCTCTCAGGTAACTTCCTTTTGCAGCTTTATATTACTCTGCTTTCCGAACTTCCTCCCTAGGATCTCATCTATCCTCATAGCCTCTGAAAGGTGGAAAGAATCCAGGTGATTTCTCCCCAGGTAACAAAGGTGAAACAGAAACATACAATCACTTATGTTCTTGTGAAGTGAACTGAGAAAAGTTGAGAGGAGTCTTGGCTTCCAATCTACTCTCCCCTAAAACAATTCCTACTTAAAAGAACACAATGATAGAAACAGACCTCAATATATATGGGAGATTTGTATATAACAGAGGTGGCATTACAAATCAGAGAAGAAGGGATTCCACACATTGTGTTAAACCAATTGACTATTACTCTATACATGCAAAATAATTACTATAATAGACAATGTTTATAGGTCTCACTATGTTCCAGGCACCATTCTAAGTGTATTACATGCATTAATTCATTTTTTCCCCGAATGTATATCTCCAGTCCATATCTCTCCCCTGAACTGCAGACATATCTCCAGCTGCCTACTTAACAGATCCACCTGGATGTCTGACTGGTATTTCAAACTTACCATGTCCAAAACAAATTCTTCCTTTCTCGCCCACATGTGCCCCTTCCCTAATCTTCCCTATCTTAGTAAAAGTTACCTTCATAGTTCCAGCTGTATTTTTTTTATCGTGAGATAATTCACATACCATGAAATTCATCTTTTTTTTTTTTTTGGCTGCACCGCACAGCTTGTGGGATCTCAGTTCCCTGACCAGGGATTGAACCCGGGCCATGGCAGTGAAAGCGCTGAGTCCTAACCACTAGACGACTAGGGAACTCCCCAAATTCATCTTTTTAAAGTGTACGTGTAAACCAACTCTACTTTAATAATAAATAAAATAAAAATAAAGTGTACAATTCAGTGATTTTTAGTATATTCACGAAGTTATGCAACTATCACCAATATCTAATTCCAGAACGTTTTCATCACCCCCCAAAGAAACCCCATATTCACTAGCAGTCACTCCCAATCTACCCCCACCAAACCCTGGCAACCACAAGTCTACTTTCTGTTTTTGTGGATTTGCCTATTATAGATATTTTATATAAATGGAATAATATATGTGGCCTTTTGTGGCTTCTTTCACTTACCATAATGTTCAAGGTTCATTCAGGTTGTAACATGTGTCAATCAGTACTTTATTCCTTTCATGGCTGAATAATATTCTATTGAATGAATATACCAATTTTTGTTTATCCATCCATCAGTTGATGGACGTTTGGGTTATTCCCACTTTTGAGCTATTATGAATAATGTGACTCTGAACATCCATTTACAAGTTTGTTTTTCATTTTGTTTATTTTTTAAATTAATTTTTATTGGAGTATGGTTGCTTTACAATGTTATGTTAGCGTCTACTGCATAACAAAAAAATGAGCCATACGCATACAGATATCCCCTCCCATTTAGGTTACCACAGCGCATTAGGTACAGTTCCCTGTGCTATACAGTATGTTCCCATGGGTTGTCTATTTTATACATAGTATCGATAATGTATATGTATCAATCCCAGTCTCTCAATTCCTCCCATCCCACCCCTTTCCCTCTTGGTATCCATACATTTGTTCTCTATGTCTGTGTCTCTATTTCTTTTTTTTTATATAAATTTATTTTATTTATTTTTGGCTTCATTGGGTCTTCGTTGCTGTGTGTGGGCTTTCTCCAGTTGCGGCAAGTGGGGGCCACTCTTCGTTGCTGTGCATGGGCTTCTCATTGCGGCGGCTTCTCTTGTTGAGGAGCATGGGCTCTTAGGTGCGTGGGCTTCAGTAGTTGTGGCACGCGGGCTCAGTAGTCATGGCTCGCGGGCTCTAGAGCACAGGCTCAGCAGTTGTGGTGCACGGGCTCAGTTGCTCTGCGGCATGTGGGATCCTCCCGGACCAGGGATCAAACCCGTGTCCCCTGCATTGGCAGGCAGATTCTTAACTACTGCACCACCAGGGAAGCCCTGTGTCTCTATTTCTGCTTTGCTATATATCTATACCATTTTTCTAGATTCCACATATATGCATTATTATACGATATTTGCTTTTCGCTTTCTGACTTACTTCACTCTGTATGACACTCTCTAGGTCCATCCACGTCTCTACAAATGACCCAATTTCATTCCTTTTTATGGCTGAGTAATATTCCATTGTATATATGTACCACATCTTTATCCATTCCTCTGTTGGTGGACATTTAGGTTGCTTCCATGTCCTGGCTAATGTAAATAGTGCTGCTATGAACATTGGGGTGCATGTGTTTTCTTCAATTATGGTTTTCTCTGGGTATATGCCCAGCAGTGGGATTTCTGGGTCATATGGTAGTTCCATTTTTAGTTTTTTAAGGAACCTCCATACTGTTTTCCATAGTGGCTGAATCAATTTACATTCTCACCTACAAGTTTTTACATAGACATTGTTTTCAATTCTCATGATATATACTGAGGAATGGACTTGCTGAGTCATATGGTAGATCTACGTTTAACTTTTTGAGAAACTGCCAAACTGTTTTCTGAAGCAGTTGCATTATTTTACTCTTACCAGCAATATATGAAGGTCCCAATTTCTCCACATCCTCACACCAACACTTTTATCACCCATCCTTCTGATTCTAGCCATCCTAGTGGATGTGAAATGGTATCTCATTGTAGTTTTTTTTTAATTAATTAATTTATTTTTTTTGCTGTGTTGGGTCTTCATTTCTGTGCGAGGGCTTTCTCTAGTTGTGGCAAGCGGGGGCCACTCTTCATCGCGCTGTGTGGGCCTCTCACTATCGCGGCCCCTCTTGTTGTGGAGCACAGGCTCCAGATGCGCAGGCTCAGTAGTTGTGGCTCACGGGACTAGTTGCTCCACGGCATGTGGGACCTTCCCAGACCAGGGCTCGAACCCGCGTCCCCTGCATTAGCAGGCAGATTCTCAACCAGTGCGCCACCAGGGAAGCCCCTCATTGTAGTTTTGATTTACATTTCCCTGATGCCTAGTAATGCTGAACATCGCTTCAGTGGCCATTTATATGTCTTCTTTGGAGAAATGTTTATTCAAATCCTTTACATATTTTGTAATTGGGTTATTTGTTTATAACTATCTAGTTTGCATGAATACCAACTTAATTTCAATAGCATACAAAAGCTTTGCTCTTACATAGCTTTATTTCCTTTCTCCTTTGCACTGTTGTAATAATTTCTATATTTTCATTGATATTCTTTATTTGTGCTGTTATTGTCATACAAATTACATCTATCCACATTGTGTGGAGGTAGGAGATAGATAGGGCCCAGGCTGAACAGCTGCAACTGGTTTCCCTAGGCT